TAAAACCGTCACCCCTCATCCTATCCCCACCCCCTGATCCAGAGCCCCTCCCCACCTTTTCTGTCCCCCCTTTAAGCCCTGGGAGGCCGCTCGAAGGTCTCCCCGGAGCCTTATAGCTTATATTCCCATAGCCTAAGGCTTCCCAGTACCACCCCCTTACACACCTCTCCATCACCAGTGGTCTCAGAGACCCAGCTGGAGTCAGCGGGGATGGTCAGCCAGGATCAGTCCCTGCCAGGGTGTCAGGAGAGGTGACCTCTGAGCTCCTTGCAGCACTACGGGATGAAGGGAGGCACATGGTGATCCCACAGTCAGGGATGCTCCCATTTCTTCAGGACAGGTTTTTTCTTCTGAGCTCGTGCAGCCTGTAGCCCAGCTGGGCTCTAGCCCACGTGCCAAATGCCTGTACACTTCAAATAATTCATGTAATTAGTACAGGCAAACAGAGCAGCGGTTAGCCCCGTTGTTGGTGTGACCCACGAATTTGGCTGGGAAAAAAAAAAAAAAAAAAAAAAAGATTCTGCTGAAAGGCTTGGGGCTGTGTGAGGAGGGGGTTGCTGTACCTGGAGGTGCGAGGGGCAGCCCAGGCTGGGCACTCCGCTCCTGGCTCTGCCTGTGACACCAGGACACCTCGGTCACCTCTTCATGACATCCCAGCCTTGCCAAAGTCAACAGGAATTTTGTCCCGGATTTCACAGGAGCCAAGGTGTTGCCATTTGCATCCGCCTGTAGGTCTCTGTGAGCTGTGACAGTCCCTCTTGCCAGGCACCTGTTTCACAGCCACCACCTTTGTCCTCCCATCCCCTTCCTGCTATTAAGCCCTGACTTGTATTAGCTCCAAAACTCCCCGAGGGAGAGTCTCGTGCCAGAAAAACGGGCTCTGCAATCCAAGGAATTGGGGAGGATTCAAGAAACTCCGCTAATGTTTAAGATACTCAATGGGAAAAGTACGACAGAACAGCAAATTACCGTATCATGAAGAAAACAAAAACCACATAATACTCAAACCCTGCTGGAAGGATAAAACGTGAGCCACTCGTGGCTCCCTTCCATACGAATTTCCTCCCTGCTTCAAAAGCAGGATATTGACAGTAAATACCCCAGCGACGCAACCACGCTCATCTCTGTCGTCTTATTTACGAGGATCCCAGACCTCTTACACACAACCCTCTTCATCTTACGCATGCAGCGCCGCAGCAAGCCAAAACGGAAAAGCGTTTGGCTTTGATCTCCAGGCAAGAAGTTGATGCTTAATCATAAAAAAAAGGAAATAACTCGATACACACACAATGTTGGTGCAAAATATGAGCCTCTCCTGCCAAGGGCAGAGACGCGGAGCGCTCCCCTGAAGTCGGTGGTCGAGGTGATGGTCGCACCCAAAGTGTTGCTTCGTGTGCCCGAATACGAGCTGACACGATGACCTGGTGAGGTTTATGGTGTTTTTTTTCCCTATTTTTTTCCTTCCTCAGGCTGTATTAATTTTATAAGCCATTATCGCGCTCGCTCCTTTTCATCAAGAAAATTGCTAAACAAAGGGAAGTGCCTCCCCTTCCTTACAGAAGTTAACGCTGACGACAGCTGAATTACCTGTGGCGACCAAGGGTAGATTACCAGCGAGGCACAGTTTTGATAAAAACAAGCATTTATTAACACAGTCGATTGCTCTATAAAACCAAAACATACTTTCACACGCTTAATCCAGCCGGTAAATTGGAAGGGCTGCAGGCTGGGACGTTTGCTCAGGTTTTAATGGTTGACTCATTAGCGGGCTGACTAGACTTGTGCATTTTCCACATTTGGAATAAAAAGTTGAGGTGGGAACGTTTTATCGCTTTCAAAGTCGCAGGGTGACTAATTGCAGTGCAGATTAGCGCTTCAGCAGTACAAGAACTTTATTTACAGTTAGTGACCTTGAGGTGCCACCCCAGAATCCCAGTTTTACCCCATTTTGAGCAGATCTCTGATTGCCCAGCCCCACCAGGATGCTCCGTCCCTGTGCCCTGTCCCCCATCTGCCACTGCTGGGCTGTGCCCCTGTCACCCTGTCCCCCACACCCTATGGTGACGGAGGCCCTATCTCTCCTCCCTGTGCCCCTCCTGCAGCCCTGGGCCCTATCAGCCACCCCCAGGTCCCTGACCTCGTCCCCACACCTTATCCCACCCCCCAGGCCCTGTCCCCTATCTCTAACCCCTGTCCCCATCCCCTCTCTTCTATCCCCCCATGCAGGCTTCATCCCCTGTACCAAGTCTCAGGCCATGTCCCATGTCCCCAAGCTCTGTCCCCCATGTCCCGGCCCCAAACCACCATCCTCCATCCCCCCGTCCTCTATCTCTGTCCCCATCCTCCATGACTCTCCCCCCACCTCTGTCCTCTGTCTCCGTCCCCTGTTCCCATCCCCTGTGCCTGTCTGCTATCCTCCGTTTACCCCCTCTATCCCCTCTCTGCCATCCCTGTCCCCTGTCCTCCATCCTCTCTCCCCCTCTCCTCTACCTGTCCCCTATCCCCCCCATCCCTGCCCCCTCTCCCCTATCCCCATACCCCATGTCTGTCCCCTCTCTCCCCAAAGAACCACAGAATTGTTTAGGTTGGGAAACACCCTTAAAATCATTGAGTCCAGCTGTTAACCCAACACTGCCAAGCCCACCACTAAACCATGTCCCCAAGTGACACGTCTACAAGTTTTTAAATACCTCCAGGGATGGTGACTCAACCTCTTCCCTGGGCAGCCTGTTCCAAAGCTTGACAACCCTTTCAGCAAAGAAATTTTTCCTAATACCCAATCTAAAACTCCCCTGACACAATGTGAGGCCGTTTCCTCTCGTCCTATCTCTTGGTGCTTGGGAGAAGAGACCGACCCCCACCTCGCCCCAGCCTCCTTCCAGGTCGCTGCAGAGAGCGATCAGGTCTCCCCTCAGCCTCCTCTTCTCCAGGCTGAACCCCCCCAGTTCCCTCAGCCGCTCCTCACAGCACTTGTGCTCCAGACCCTTCCCCAGCTCCGTTGCCCTTCTCTGGACACGCTCCAGCACCTCCAGGTATTTCTGGGAGTGAGGGGCCCAAAACTGAGCCCAGTGTTGGAGGTGCAGCCTCCCCAGTGCCAAGTACAGGGGGACGATCCCTTCCCTAGTCCTGCTGGCCACACTCTTGCTGACACAAGCCAGGATGCTGTTGGCCTCCTTGGCCACCTGGTCATACTGCTGGCTCATATGCAGCTGGTTGTCAACCAGCACCCCCAGATGCTTTTCCCCTGGGCAGCTTTCCAGCCCCTCTGCCCCAAGCCTGTAGCGTTGTGTGGGGTTGTTGTGCCCCAAGTGCAGGACCCGGCCCTGAGCCTTGTAGAACCTCATACAATTGGCCTCAGTCCATCGGTCCGGCCTGTCCAGGTCCCTCTGCAGACCCTTCCTACCCTCAAGCAGACCAACACTCAGGCCCAGTTTGGTGTCCCCTGAAAACTCGCTGAGGGTGCACTTGATCCCCTTGTCCAGAACATTGATAAAGGTACTAAACAGAACCAGTCCCAGTACTGAGCCCTGGGGAACACTGCTAGTGACTGGCTACCAGCTGGATTTAACCCCAGTCACTACCACTCTTGGGGCCCCCAATCCTGTCCCCATCCCCTGTGCCTGTCCCCAATCCCCTCCACCCCTGTTCCTTGTTCCCCATCCTTTGTCCCCATCCCCCTGTCCCCATCCTCTTATCCCCCCCACCCCTGTCCCCTCTGTCATCCATCTTCCGTCCCCATCCCCCATGTCTGTGCCCCATCCTCCATCCTCTGTGTCCCCATCCCCTATCCCTGTCCCCCTTCTTTCGTTCCCACCCCCATGTGCCTGTCCCCATCCCTCTCCTCCTTGTTCCCCTGCCACCCCAGGGCTCCCCCCCAGTACCCTGTTTCTGTCCTCCATCATCCGTGTCCCCATTCCCTGTCCCTTTCCCCATCCTCCACCCTCTGTGTCCCCTCTCCCCATGCCCCCATCCCCATCCCCTCCTCCCTGTTCCCTCACCACCCCAGGGCTTCCCCCCAGTCTCCTCTGTCCTCCATCCTCTGTGTCCCCATCCCCCTGTCCCTATTCTCTATCCCTGTCCCTGTCCCCCACCCTCCACGTCCCCTCTCCCCATGCCTGTCCCTACCCCCTCCTCCGTGTTTCCCTGCCACCCCAGTGCTCCCCCCCCCCCGGTCCCCTCTGTCCTCCATCGTCCGTGTTCCCATCCCCCGTCCCTGTCCCAATTCTCCATCCTGTGTCCCCTCTCCCCATGCCCCCATCCCCATCCCCTCCTCCCCGTTCCCCCACCGTCCCGGGGCTCCCCCCGGGGACCCCTCTGTCCTCCATCCTCCATGTCCCCATCCCCGTCCCTATCCTCCATCCCCGTCCCTGTCCCCCACCCTCCACCCTCTGTGTCCCCTCTCCCCATGCCCCCATCCCCTCCTCCCCGTTCCCCCGCCGCCCGGGGGCTCCCCCCGGGGACCCCTCTGTCCTCCATCCTCAGTGTCCCCATCCCCCTGTCCCTATCCTCCATCCCCATCCCTGTCCCCCACCCTCCACCCTCTGTGTCCCCTCTCCCCATGCCTGCCCCCATCCCCTCCTCCCCGTTCCCCCGTCGTCCCGGGGCTCCCCCCGGGGACCCCTCTGTCCTCCATCCTCCGTGTCCCCATCCCCCTGTCCCTACCCTCCAGCCCCGTCCCTGTCCCCCACCTTCCACCCTCTGTGTCCCCTCTCCCCATGCCCCCATCCCCATCCCCTCCTCCCCGTTCCCCCGCCGTCCCGGGGCTCCCCCCGGACCCCTCTGTCCTCCATCCTCAGTGTCCCCATCCCCGTCCCTGTCCCCCACCCTCCACCCTCTGTGTCCCCTCTCCCCATGCCTGTCCCCATCCCCTCCTCCTCCCCGTTCCCCCGCCGCCCCGGGGCTCCCCCCCCCCGCTTTTCTCCCCCCCCCTCTCCGCTCCGCCCCGCTCGCCGCCTCCCGGCCGCCCGCGGCCTACCCGTCGCTCCCCGCCTCCCCCCGCCATGTCGCGGGGAGCGGTGCGGGTGCTGCGGTTGGGGCCGCGGCCCTACGCCGAGGCGCTGCGGGTGCAGGAACGCTGCGTGGGGGCGGCGCGGGCGGCCCGAGCCGGCCCCATCCCCGTCCCCGTCCCGGTAGCGGTTCCCAACCCGGGGGAGAGCGTGGTGCTGAGCGAACCGGCGGAGCCCGTGTACGCGTGGGGGCTGCGGGGAGCCCCGGGGGCGGAGGCGGCGGAGCGGCTGCGGGCGCGGGGAGCGGGGCTGGCGGCGGCGCGGCGGGGCGGGCGGATCACGTTCCACGGGCCCGGGCAGCTCCTGGCCTTCCCGGTGCTCGACCTGCGCCGCCGCCGCCTCCCGTTGCGCGGGTACGTGGCGGCGCTGGAGGCGCTGGTGCTGCGGCTCTGCCGCCGCTTCGGCCTGGCCGCCGCCCGCGCCCTCCCGCCGCCCTTCACCGGCGTCTGGATGGGCGACAGCAAGCTCTGCGCCATCGGTGAGAGCAGCGGGGGGGGGGGGAATACCGGGGGGGGGGGGGATGTACTGGGTGGGGCATGCACCGAGGAGGCGGGAAAAAACGGGGAACTGGGGGGGGGGGGGGGGGGGGGGGGGGGGGGCGGGGTATGTACCGGGGGGTCATGCACCAGGGGCGGCATGGACCGGACGGGGGCATGCACCGGGGGGCGGGAAAAAACAGCCGGGGGGGCATATACGGGAGGGGGGGGGGGGGGGCGGTATGTACCGGGGATCATGCACCGGGGTTGGGGACATATACTGGAGGGAGGCATGCACCAGGGGAGGGAATGTACCGGGGGGGGGGAATGTACCGGGGGGTCATGCACCGAGGGGGGACATATACCGGAGGGAGGCATGCACCAGGGGAGGGAATGTACCGGGGGGGGGGGAATGTACCGGGGGGTCATGCACCAGGGGCCGCATGGACCGGACGGGGGCATGCACCGAGGGGCGGGAAAAAACAGCCGGTGGGGCATATACGGGGGGGGGGGGGGGGGGGGGGAGCGGTATGTACCGGGGATCATGCACCGAGGGGGACATATACCGGAGGGAGGCACGCACCAGGGGAGGGAATGTACCGGGGGGGGGGAATGTACCGGGGGGTCATGCACTGAGGGGGGACATATACCGGAGGGGGGCAGGTACCGGGGGTCATGCACCATGGGGGGTGGGAAAAAACAGGCAGGGGGGCGTGTACCGGGTGGGGGTATGTAGCGGAGATGGGCATACACTGGGCAGGGGGGCGGGGAATGCACTGGGGGGGTCAGGCACTGGGGTGGGGCATGTACTGGAGGGGACATGAACTGGGGACATGCACCATAGCGGGGGGACATGTCTTGGGGTCCTACTCAATGTGGGGAAGGTGTGCATGGGTGGGGTGTGCACCGAGGGGGGGGCAGCACAATTTCAGCCTCTTGCACCCAAAATCAGGGCCCAGCACTTTGCACCCCCTCACCCAGGGCAGGCGGGTCCCCAGTTTTGCCCCCTTTCCCCTGTCCCGCTCCCCAGGCACTGCAGCCCCATGGCCCGCACCCCTTCCTAGAGCCCTGCACCCCCAGTCGGGTCCTGCAGCCTGGACCCCCCCCCGCCCTTTTTACACCGCAGCCCCGTGTCTGAGTCCACCTGAAACCCCAACAGTGGGAGGTGCTGGGGAACGTGGGGACAGAGTGGAGGGAACCCGACATGCTCCATCCCATCTACCTCAAATGTGGGGAGCCTGCTTGTGCGTTGGGAGGTTTTCCTGGCAGAATCGGGGAGTGCGGCATGTGTGTGGGGGGGGTTATAGTGGCCTGAGCGGCGCGGTCACTAAATATCTCACAGCGGGGTGTCCCGGGGGGGTGGGTGGTGACGGGTGGGTGCTCTGACCCCCGCAGGGGTGCACTGCGGGAACCACATCACCTCGCACGGGCTGGCGCTCAACTGCTGCACCGACCTCACCTGGTTCGACCACATCGTCCCCTGCGGGCTGGAGGGCAAAGGCGTCACCTCGCTGAGCCGCGAGCTGGGGCGGCACGTCACCGTCGATCACGTCCTCGAGCCCTTCCTCGATGCCTTCCAAGAGGTGTTCGACTGCACCTTGGTCTTTTCGGAAGATCCCGGGGACTAGGGAGAGCCGCGGCGCCTCGGCTGGGTATTTTGGCAAAACTTCAGTGCAGCTGATGAACGGTGCGGCAGCCGCCGGGGGCTTTATTGCGAGACAAGAGATGTCGTGTCTTTGCCTGGAGACGGTGGCGCAGAGGTTTGGGCTGTTTCTTAAAAATCCAGAGCTCCGTTGGGGCTGCTTTCCCCAACCCCACAGGCCTCCATCCCTCGGCTGAGACCTCCAAGGGCACCATGTCCCTGTGGCTCACTGGGGAAATGCCCAGACAGGTGCTTTTATGGGGGGTTTTCTGCCTCTTTGCCTGCAAAATCCAACATTTGGATGAATGCTTATGCGCCTGTTGGACAAAAGGAAGAGGGACTGGTTGGTGGAGCATCCTTCCCTCGCTGCTGGGTAAAAAGAGGCAGATTTTTTATAAAGAGAGTTGCTGGGAACTTCAGCTGCTGATCCTTTGTTTACTCCAAGACTTTATGACTAACGACCTTTTTCTTGCCCTGTGCCCGGAGAAGTCTTATCATGGCAAAGATCCTCACCGTGGTGTTGGGGCAGGTGGAAAAATCGCTGATAAGAGGCTGTAAACGGTGGCTAAAAGGCCACCGGAGCGATGCCGATGTGGTGGGGAAGCAGGAGGAGGAGGGGAAGGGGTTGGAGTGCCTGAGGAGAGGAGCCACCACCATCCTGGACCCCGTGGGACCATGCAGCATGGGGTTAAGTGTCCTGGTTGGGTAATGGGGACCTGCTCGTGCCAGGTCTGTGGTGCTGGAGGAGATGGTACTGGGGTCTGTCTGTGCAGGCTGTGTCAGCACCCCCAAAATCGCTGCCCCGGCCGCAGCATCCATGTGGGCTTGCAGCCACCGTCCCGGGCAAAGCAACACGGCCACCTTGGGGTCCTGATGGCACTGGGGTCAATGCAAACCTAGAGGTAGACAAATATAAACTGATTTTAATCGATGGGTTTCTTAAGGGTTAGGAATCCAACTGAGACAGAGCTCCCTGGAGCTGCCTGCTACCCTTTGGGGTGCTCGCAGCTCTCCCAGTGCATGGGCAGGGGAGGCAGTGCCTGGTCTGGGCTCCCCAAAACTTCCCCCCATTGGTGCATGGCACAGCCACAGCCATTTCTGAGTCACCCCCATTGCTTGTGGACCCGAAGCCTGTGCTGGAAGAACTGGTTACGTGTGGTTGGGAGCAGCCCCGCAGCCAGGCGAGTGCTTCAGGGGCAGGAGAAATGGAAAAGGGCAAATAAAATAAAAGTCCCTGTGCCCTGTTCAGAGCAGGACCTGATCCCCACCCGCAGCCCCTCACCGCTGCTTTGGGCCTTCTTTGCGCCCCATGAGCTTTGGACCTGCATCCCCCAGGGGGGTTTTGAGTGGGCAAAGGGTGCAGCTGGGGTTGGAAGGGTCCCAGGAAGGGACAGTGAGGGGGAAAAAATCCCATTTCATGGAGCTGGCTCAGCTCTGGGAGGGGATGGTGAGCAGGGATGAAGGCACCTCGGGCAGGCTCGGTGCCCGGTGCGACAGCAGGGACGGACGGAGGAGGGACAGGAAAGCGTGACCGGCAGCGTGTGCTGGGAGGGAAACGCAGGGTCCGGCTCTCCCAGCCCCATAAGACCTCCAGTATCCGGCCAGGGCAAGGGAACTGTGGTGGGACCCGTGGGGCTGGGGACAGGCTGGTGGCCCGTGTGGGAGCGGGGTGGCTTTGGCAGGTGGCTCTGCCCCGGGAAGGGGAGGAGGCTGCGCGGCACTCCCAGCCCGGCCGGTATCCCTTGCCACCTCCCTGCGATGCTCCAGTCCCGGCTCAGCCTTGGCAGCAGCGCAGGCAGGGAGGGCACCCCAGGTGAGTGTGATCCCCCCTTCCACCCCTGCAGACGCCCCCTTCCCCTCTCTGGCCCTACACCCCCCCCTAACATGGGGTCCCCTCATGCTGCACCCCATCTGTGAGTCCCCTCCTGGGATTAACCCAGATCTTGCCCTAAATCTCCCAAATTCAGCCTCCTCATGCTTCAAATTTGTCTCTTAAGAGAGACAGCCCCTTCCTCTTCCTCACTGCTGGGCTCTCATCCTGGGAGGTGCACCTGGGGTTTGGGGTGACCCTTTTTTTTTTGGGGAGGGCAGCTGCCTGTGCATGAGGCAGAGCTGCTGGTGCTGCAGGTACAGGGTGCTGGGGAGCAGGGGGGCTGGGGGGGGATACCCCAGGGGACAACAGCGGTTTATGGGGCTGGTGTGTCCTGAAGGATGACACGTGGGGGACCGTGTCCCCGTGTCCCTGTCTGTGCCTGCTTAGAGGTCCCGGTGAGACACAAGGATATGTGAGGTTGCAGAGGGCATGTGGGGGTCCAGCGTGGGCTGGCAGAGGGGCCCCGTGTCCTGGGGGGGGTCAGAGGGGATCTGGGACCATGGGGAGGGAAATCCCCAGGGGGATTTAGGGCAGTGACCCCTTGCAATGGGTCCATGGGGTGCATGGGGATCTGTGCCCCCCCTGTCAGGGTGGTCACAGCTCCTGACCCCAGCCTAGGACCAACAGGGAGAACAGGGGGTCCCCACTCACCCTGGGGGACCTGGCCTGGAGTGAGTGGGGTCGATGCATGGCAGGATCAGTCTTGGAGCTGTTATTTAGGATGGGGGACCCCAGACAGTCCCACCAGGGCCCCTTGGGTGCTAGCTCTGCACCGTGCAAGTGTCCTCACAGCCCTGGGGCTTTGAGCAGGCTTTGAACCCAACCATCCCAGCTCTGTCCCACCATTATCCCCAGCCCCAGGGAGGAGAGGAGGGGCAGGCAGCTGCCCCCAAACTCTGGGGGTTTTACCCCCTCTGTGGAAGGAGTGAAATTTGGGGAGGGGGCTGCCGTGAACACAAAAGGGTTTGGACGCCCCCGCTCCTACCCTTGTTGTTGGGGCAGAGGAGGCGCTTCAAGGACCATTTTTGGGTCACCGTTGTGCCCGGCAGGACATCCCCAGCATCGTCCCGGGGGCAACCCTGGCTGAGCCTCCCCGTCCTTCCCCGCAGCCTGGAGGAGGACATGGAGGAGGACAACCAGACGGAAACCTGGCACCGAAGCCTCCAGGCAGTGCTTAATGCCTTAAACCAGACGCTGCACGGGGTTGTCCTCTGCCCCGCCGACCGCCCTGCCACCACCACCGTCACCGCCGCCGCACGCAACGCCAGCGCCCGCGCCGGCCGTCCCGGCCGCAACGACAACGCCTACATGTACATTCTCTTCGTCATGACGCTCTTCGCTGCTACGGTGGGGAGCCTCATCCTGGGCTACACCCGCTCCCGTAAAGTGGACAAGCGTAGCGACCCATACCACGTCTACATTAAGAACAGGGTCTCCATGATCTGAGCCTGGCCCTCATGCCTTGTCCCCCGGCAGCCAGGGGGGTTTGGGGGTCACGTCACTGTGGCGCATCCCGCTGCTTGCGGGATGGGGCAGTGCTGCTGGCCAGCCCGGCCCCAAAACTTCTGGGAAACCCCCACCCCGATACCCCCAGGGAGGTGCTGAGCCCCAGTGTGAGCAGTGTGGGGACATCCTGGCCGGGCCACAGCTCCTGTCTGGCAGGAGCTGGCAGGATGTGACCCACAGGCAGGTCCAGGTCCTGCAGACCCACCTTGGCTGAGCCCTGCAGGGACGGGAATGGCAGAAGCAGCTCCTTTCCCACCATGGCCTACCAAGCCTGGCAGGGGTCTTCAGAGAGAAAAACTCACCATTTTCCCGCTCAGCTCAGCCAGCGTTGACCTCCGGGGGCTCCCAGCAGCTTTGTGATATGGGCTAGCAGGCTTTTCTGGTGCTAAAACCTTGTAATTTTTGAGCTGGGCTGGGCCCCGCTTTACTGGCGGGGAATTAAAAGAGGTGGCGGTTTCCAGTGGGGTTGCGTTTGCTTCTTCTCCGAGCAAAGTCGGCGTTGGGAGGGTGATCCGTGGGGCACCGCTCCATGCTGGCTCCCTGCTCGGGTTGCTGGAGCCCAGGGGTTGCTGGAAGGGCTGAACCTGCTCCCTGTGTGCTACCGAGGTGGCTTCAAGGGCAACTCCTCGGTGGCATCGCAGCCCCTGTCCCAGGGCATGAGATGCTTTTTCCCTGCCACCAGCCGGGGAGCATCACTCGAGCCGTGGGCACACGCTGCAAGCATGGCCCGAGCCTGCTGGTATCCGGCTCCACGTGTCCCCGAAGGTCTCTCCAGGATCCGGACGGTGATGCCGGAGTTTTTCCTGCTTCCTTCCTGCTGTCGGCTGTAGCTTTGGCCTTTTGTACCACAGGTCCCAAATGTGTTTTCCATGGGGCGAGGGCGCAGCGGCGGACGGGAAGGGGATGTTCTCGGGTCCTGCTGGGCTCCTTGGCTTCAGCTCTGCTATTAAAGCTGGCTGGGTTTGGGACTGGCTCGTGGAGTGGCCAGTGTCCAGGGCAGTAAACGTCCCCATCCTTCAAAACAGGTTGTGGTGCAGTGTCAGTAATCCAGTCCTTTGCACGTCTTAATAATGGCATAATTAATGTCTTTAATTGCAGCTAGATTAGCTGGCCCATAGGGGCCTTTCTGCCTGCATTCAAAGGTTAAACACGGCTGCAATGCCTGAGCCCAAACAGCGACGCCAGATCCTCATCCAAAAAATAATACTGGATGTGATCACATTTGGGGTAGGGCTGGAAACCTTGGCACCTGAGACAGCGGGACGGCGGCAGCTTAGCGACCAGTTCCTGATTTCCCATGCCCTTGGCTTGGGCACAAAACCCAAAGCAGGAGGTTTGGGGGGAGCCCTCGAGGGGGGGCTGCCTGATTTGGGGCTGAGCCCGCTGTGATTTCTGAGCCGGGCACGCGGTGGTAGCAGGGCTTTCTGGGGGGCAAACACCACCAATGTCTCCCGGCATCTGGCCCAAGCGGGAAGTAGCTCAAGAGGCTTTGCCGTGTTTGTCTTGCAGTTGCAGCACTGGGAAAGGAAAATAAACCCTTTGTCTGCAAATAAATCAGAGGAATTGGGCCAGGAAGGGACAACCGAGACAGTAATCCTCCGGCACACACCACGCTTGGGTTTTCTCCACCTCTGCGGTGTTTGTCCTCTTCTGATACCGGCTCCTCCGGTGGAATGAGCTGCAGAGCAGCCGCTCGCACCACGATGGGGGTGCCTCTGGTGAGATGGGTGCTGAACGGTGAGTGTGGCACCCCAAAATCCGCTGCTGATGTGATCTTCTTGCCTCTCCCGATGGCCACTGGCCCTCCTGGGAGAGAATGTGGCTGGGATGGATCTGGTGACCCCAGCGTCTCTTTTGCTGCTGTGACCCAGGGAGGACAACCCTATTACAGGGTGGCATGTCATAAAAATTGTCAAAAAATTCTGCTTTTCCCTAATCTAGAAGACCCTAAGGGGGAAAACCCCTCCTACAAGGCAGCTCTTGCAGTGGTCATTATTCAAATGATTTCTGATTCATCGGCAGCTCCTCTTATCCATCCCAAATTTGGACTAGAGCCTGCGGCAGGGCTGGGGGGATGCCCTGGGTGTTCCCACCCTGGAACCTCGGGCTGGATGCCACCAGGCTGGGTGACAAGATGCCAGTGCCACCTTGTGGCAGCTGCCTCAGGGTCCCCTTGCCATGGACAAGGGATTCCTGGGGCCAGAGTACCGAGTTTGTCCCCACGGGACCCAGGGCTCCAGGCTGGCTGGGTGTCCCCATGGGACCCATGGCTCCCAGCTGGCCGGTGTCCCCATGGGACTCCTGGCTCTGGGTCAGCATGACAAATTTATCCTCAGCAAGGGGTTGTGCTGGGCTGCTGAGGATGCTCAGAGGGGTATGGAAACAGGAGGTTGTTGGGGAGCACAGCTGTGGGAGCCTCCCCAAATGGGTTTGCTTCAGCTGTCAGAGAAAGGATTTTACAACTAATTAGGTGCTCATCCCAGTGCTTGGGGATTTCTCATCGAAGGCGATGGTGCTCTGGCCTCGCTCCCTGTGCTGCAGCCCCAGGAGCAGATGATTTCTGGGTAAAATGCTCACACGGTTTGTTTTAACAGCAAGGAGACACACAGGCACACAGAGGGAAGAGCTGGGGAAGCGCTGGCCTTGGCTGGATCGCTAAATCCAACTGTGCAAATCATAGCTGACGACATTTAGGTTTTAAGCAATGCAGCTAGACAAAAAAATAGGGCTCATGGGAGGCCAATTTATTTAAGATTTTTTCCCTTGGCACACAGCAATGAATCACAAGTGAGACGATGTCTGTAGCGGTTTGCCTGGTGCTTGGAAAAGGATTTCGAAATGTCGTGTGTGTGGGAAGTGCAGGCTGACCTTGGCTTAAATCAACAGCAGGATTGTCAGAGCAATGGGAATTGCAGGGGCCTGTTCCTGGGACTGCTTTGATGCTGGGCATTTCGATAAGAAATGTGCAAGGTGAAACTTTAGCAACGCAGGGACTGATAGCGATGGTATCGCTGAGTGATGCCAGCGGGTATCAGTGAATGTTTAGCTAACAGCATGAGGTGCCTCCGGCAGTTTGTGGTTTTGAATATGTGGCACAGCAGGTCTGAGGTATGGGAAGGTGCGTTCAAGGGAAGCTGCTTCTCCAAGACAGCGGTCAGTGCTCGGTGGGAATCCTGGGCTGCTGGCGGGGCCGGCATGCAGGGGAGGAGCGGGCTGCTGGCCTGGGAAGGGCACGCTGCTCTCCTATCAGGTGTGCCGAGCCAGGCTGACATGCAAGAAGGCTTCTTTGCAGCCCAGGGTAGACAGGAGTCATGATGGGGCAAGTTAATCTTGGGAAACTTTAAAAAAAAAAAAAAAAAAAAAAAAAAAAAGGAGGGAATGGGAAAGCACTCCTAGTTCACGGCAAGGCAAAAAAGTGCTGGATGAGCATCCCCTGCACTGCAGCAGCTGGATGCTGGATAAGCATCTTCCATGTTGCAGTGGGGGGGTTCCCCTGAACTTCCCTGGGGCAACTTCCCCAGGCCCCTCTGGCCCTCCCTGCCATGTGTTCTTGCTGGTTGTGCTCATTGTGTTGACCGGAGCATACTGTGATCTGGGGCAGATGCTGCAGCACAGTTTGACTCATAGGTTTGGTGCGTAGAAACCACTGGGTGATACTTGTTCTCTAATTCAGTGACTGTTAGCTACTAAGGAGTACTAACCAGTTCTGTTTGTCCTATGCATAGAGCTACAACTAAATGCTACAATGCGAGGGGTGGAAAAGCTGGGGGGAGGTTAAGGGCAGTTCATGCATCAGTGGCAATTGCTACCCACAAGAAATCAAACACGAGGCTGTAATGGGGTCCTGGCTGCGCAGGTGCACGGCCGTGGGTGCTGCGGGTGTCGGGCAAAAACCCTGCAGCACAGCTCACAGCATCCTATGGAAACACGAGCAGTTTCAAGCAGTGAAAAATAATTATTGATACATTATTGCCCATCTTCCTCTGGAGGGAGAGCAGATGGGATGTCCTCCTGCACGGTAACTCAATCGGCCCTGCTCGGAGACGGGGTTGCCCATTGCCTGTGCTACCTTCAAAGGATTTTGTGGGAGGTGACAAGGTCATTATTACAGGAATGGGGCGCTCCTGGACACACAATCTCTTCCTTCAGGTCAGAAACCCTCACTGTCCAAAACACATCCATTTCTTCTAAATATTTCAGCTCCTCTCACCAAAGATGCAGCCTGTTCCTCCAACCTGCCTCGCTGACAGCCCTGTAGCACCACGGCTGGAGCAATATCCTTGTCCGGAGGGATGAGAGAAACAAAAGTGACTTAAACCAAAGAACCTGACCTGTTTGGAAGCTCTACGGGAATTGTCACACAGCATCAGTCACTTGAAGTCCTCCGAGGCCCTTTTCCTCTGTTTTTTGCTGCAATGGATGTCTGTCTGTCTGAGTCGCCTCTCTCACACCAGGCTGGTATCAGGTGCTCTAGATAAAGATGTGGGAAACCAGATTAATTATGTGCAGGCACGGAAAACATCTATTCTGACCCTCTCCCTCTTCTGCCTGTGTGAGTTAGCCCCCTCCAGCCTCTCTGCGAGGTCAGGTTTGCCTGCTGCGGGCAGCGTGGAATGCATCTCCGCGGCAGCAGAGGTTGCACCGGTTCCTCATGGTTCTTCTCCAGGGGATGCTCAGCACCAAACCCACCTCGGACACGTCCCTCTTCCCCCAAGCAGCTCTGATATTTGCTGCTGCAGCGTTTTTTCACTCACAGCCCTTTGCTGCACGGTGCTGAGCGCAGCTCCTGCTCTTGCCCAACCCAGATAAATCATTTTACAAGCTTTTTTTTTTTTTTCTTTTGAAAAAAAAAAAAGCACACAATGGAAAAATGCAGTGTTCAGGAGACTTTAGCTTTCTGAGCCTCTGTGCAGTGCACCAACTCCCTTCCCTGCTGTCTGGTACCACAGTGGCCTGCACGTGTGATGGCGTGGCTGCCTGTGTGCACTCCCAAATTGGCACTGAGAGCTGCCAAATTAATTAGTGGAGGAGCCTTCAGCAGGCAGAGTCTGGATTTGGGGGCTACACTGGACCGTCTCTACATGACATCTTGCACCCACGGGTAAGACACAGCCTCATCCTTCTTTGCACCGCAGCTCTTGCAGCAACACAGCTCTGGCTGGTTCCCCTTTTTCTGATCCTTTTTTTCCTTTTCCTCCCCTCTTCCCACCCAGGTGAGGGGAGAGAGAGACCTGGGGGCAGTCCAGCTGAAGGATGATGCGCACATGCTGGCGATAAGATAGAGCAATGTTATCAAAAGCCTGGCCGTAAAATTAACTGTCAGGACTGTGCAATCACTGGGCGGTTCAGTTCAGTTTGACTGCCCTATGGGTACCTACAAAACCTCCACCATATGGTAAGAAAAAGCAGCATTTCTTAATAAAGATCAGAGCATTGTTTATTTTTACCAACAATCAGGAA